GAGATAGATCAGCTCCTGGCAGCATCCCAATCTACTTCAAAGAAGATGGTCACCTAAGAACCTCCACATGGAGCTTGTTTCAGTTGTGGCAAGATGGCACTGTGCGGGGTGGGGGGGGGGCGGGTACCTGCTCCTTAACTTGACTGCAACAGCACACTGTCCAAACTGTATAAGCAGGCACTGGGAAGTTGATTGACCCACTCTACTGAAACAAGGTAGGCCAGTCCTTCAAAATTCCTGCTTCACAGATAATTCTGTTGGATATCCTGGGTCTGTTGGTGGAAGATTGAGTGTCCCACCAATACAGAGGAACCTTGAGTGACTGACCAGGTAACCATCATCTCTGTCATTTCTGTAGTTTTGGAAGATGCTCGCTCTGCACATCCTGTTTACCAAGGTAGTAGTATTTATCCTTCTCAGGTCTCTGATGGGGTTGAGGACTAGATAGTTACCATCTCACAGCTTTCCCTACTAAAGATTAAAGACATAAAAGCTTAAGTTGTTTAGGATCCAAGAAAATGTTTTAGGTTCTAAAAAAATGTTTTCATGTTGATAAATCCAAGTTATGATAAAAAATGATTTTGGTATAAAATTTTGGACTCACCAAGATAGGATAGATAGTAGAATATTTTCTCCAGGGTTGTCAAATACAAACAGAATGGACATTGTAAATAAAATTCTTACCTGATAGTTCTCATAATTGTTCTTATTATATATAGTTGATTGATGTTAGAGAAAAAGCCATTTATTGGGCCAAAAGGGGGAAAGGTAGTGAGTATTCTGTTTTCTTTAAAAGCCCAGTTATGTTATGTGATTATGTTTTTGTTTTCATCCCAGGTGTGGGATGTGAGGCTGGTTCAGATTGTCCATCCACAGCTCCTAACTATGATTTGTCTCTTGCTCTAAGAGGGATATGGTTTTTGCCAGCTGCAGATAGTTTACATTTGGAATTCTGGGGACTCTGGAGAGGGTATAACTGTGAGAGCCCTGAGAGAGCCTGGGGCAGCAGCCGCTCCCTCTGCTGCTGCTGGTTGCTGCTGTTGAGGTTTGTCAAGTGCTTGTGAGCAAAGAGACTAGAAGAAGAAATTGGATATCCTGATGATGAAGATTGAAATTGCTCCCAAGAACTCTGTAGTGTGTAGTTTTTGCTCCCCTGCTGGGCAGACCATGCTACCAACCCCACCCAGGTTCCCTCAGATCCACAGATAAGAAACCAACACACACATTAACTTAATTTTTAACCTGGATTATGGCTAAATTGTTTGGTGCTTCTAATCTCCCATGGCTAGTGTGCCCTTCCCAATACTCTTAGCTCAGCACCCTAAATTTACCCTCGACTTGAGTTGCTCAGTTACCTTTTTCTAGTTCAGCAATCCAAAGCTGCCCCTAGCTTTAGTTGTATTTCTAATCTCCCACGTGGAGAAACGGCCTGTGGCTGCTCTGCCCAAGATCTCACATGGCTGGTCATGTTTTCTACTCTGAAGCATGGCAAAAATCCTCCCCAACCCCCAACCCCTCTCCCCTGTGTCTGCTACCAAGTGGGTCAAACTAATTGCCCTGGTAACACACAGTTTACAGACTTAGTCCCATGCTCTCCCAGGTGCCTTCTGGGTCTTTCTTGTGATACTCAATGCTTCTCTAACAGGCCAGGGTCCTTACCTGTACAATCTCCAGCATTTCTGCCTTGCTGATGTAGCCATTACCATCCAGGTCATACATGCTAAAGGCCCACTTTAGCTTCTGCTCCAGCTTGCCCCTTGATGTCACACTCAGGGCTATGATGAACTCTCTAAAGTCTATTGTCCCATCTCCATTTGCATCGAAGGTGCGGAAGACATGCTCTGCAAATTTGGAAGCATCCCCATAAGGGAAAAAGTTCCCATATATTTTCTTAAACTCTTCCATTGATAAATGTCCGCTGGGGCAGTCTCTCAAGAAGCCTTTGTACCACTCCTGGATCTCATGCTCTGTGAAGTCTGTGCTTTCCAGTAAGTCCTGCATGACTTCAGGGCGAAGCTTGCTGTTCTGTTTCCCCATTCTGGTAGCAAGAATTCAACTGCAGAGAGAAAAGAAAATACATATGTTTTTTAGAGCTGTCCTTTAGGATCATGTGGTATTGTTCCTTTAGAAGAGGGAAAATCGGGCTGGAGAGATGGCTCAGCGGTTAAGAGCACTGACTGTTCTTCCAGAGGTCCTGAGTTCAAATCCCAGCAACCACATGGTGGCTCAAAACCATCCGTAATGAGATTGGATGACCTCTTCTGGTGTATCTGAAGACAGCTACAGTGTACTATTCATAAATAAAATAAATAAATAAATCTTTAGAAGAGGGAAAATCTAACAAACTCTACTAGCACAATGGCTAAACAAAATGATGGCAAATCAGGCCAGTCAGAGATGCAGAAAGGCCATGTTGCTAACCAGACCAGCTAGAAAACAAGATATGATTGGATGGATGGATGGATGGATGGATGGATGGACAGATGGATGGACAGATGGGTGGATGGATGGACAGATGGCTGGATGGACAGATGGGTGGATGGATGGATGGATGGACACATGAATGGATGGACATGTAGATGGATGGATGGATGGATGGATGGATGGATGGTCAGGTAGATGGATGGTCAGACAGAAGACAGATGGAAGGGAGGTAGATGATTTGTTTGTGGCTTATCAATTTGCAAGAGATCAAGTGTGCCTTTAAGAAAACTAAGGGTCTAATTTCAGACCCTATAAGTAGAACTAAAGGAACAGAAGAGGGATGGAGGGAAGAAGGGAGATAGGGAGAGAGAGGAATCAGCATGTTTCATTGTCGCTTTGCCTCCACATAAAGTGTGGCTCATATAACTGGACACCATAAGTGCAGGAAGAAGGACACCATGAACCTCTGCCAGGCTAATCCAGTTAGGTACAGCCAGAGGGAATCACTGACCACTTTGGGTTTAGATGGTAAAGATGATGCTTCAGAGAGTTGTTCATGTTCTATGGCTTAGGGAACAGGTCAAAGTTAACTTCTTAAATTACATATTACCTTGTATGTTCTTATCCTAACAGTAGCATATGTTCACAATCAAACAGGAAAATACTGCAGTGACTCATCGAGAACATACTAGCAACTTCCAAATCCTCATCATTGAGATAAACACAGCTAGTATTTTGGTGTATGTTCTTCAGAATTATGTGTGGATTTATTTCAGTATGTTATCAATATCTAGTTCCCAGATTAACTATGTTTTCAACCTAACCATGGTACAAAAGTGATGTATGTCTTGTAGGAACTGTGCTTTGGACCTTGTCCAGGCCAGTGACATTTGTTTCTGTAATCTCTCAACTGCTTGGCGGCAGCTGGGCCTCAGCTCTGTGGGCTGCATGGCTGGGAAGAGGCCACAGACATGGTTCAGCAGGACTTCTACTTGTGACTCTTCTTGCTCAAGAAAATTTTATGTGACCCTGGGTCACAAGGATATAAAACAGATACACAAATGAAACATTTGCTGACAATAAACCAGAAATTATTTTAAAACAATTCTTTTATAAACATGCACACTTTCCATGTGTTAAAGGCAACAGCAGAATTATCTAATGGGATGGCTATGCTTGTTGTCTAACACAATCTAGCCCAGAGATTCCAGATGGATATGAGGAAGGACAGCAGAAGAAATATTAGGCGTCTGTTTTCTGTGGTCAAAACATTCTGTTTTCACCCGAGTGAAACCCTTTGCATACAGAGTAGAAACCCACAGTTCATAACATAAAGTCACCTTGAATCTGAGCTGAGCAGTTTCAGGCAGCCTTCCTTGGCCTCCTGTGGTGCAGAAGCATGCATGTTGTGTGTTATAAAGTGTGTACATCGTGCCTTCTGAGTCAACGCTACAGTGAAGTCCCATGATGCAACTCAAGCAAGCCCCACCAGAAATATCTCAGATTCATTATGTGTTTGATTTTGAGTTAATTAAAATTTATTTTTAGATTTACTTATGGGCTTGAGAGCTTTACCTGAATAATGCATAGCAGTGCACCCATATGTGCCTAGGGTCTGAGGTCAGAGGAGGATATTGGATCCCCTGGAAGTGGAAATATGGACAGTTGTGAGCTGACATGTGGGTGCTGGGAACTGAACTGGGGTCCTCTGCAAGAGCATCAAGTATTCTTAACCTCTGAGCCACCTCCTCAGGCCCTGAGCCACCTCCTCAGGCCATGAGCCATCTCCTCAGGCCATGAGCCATCTCCTCAGGTCATGAGCCATCTCCTCAGGCCCTGAATTAACTTTTAGTGTTCAGAAACCTTTTACTTGTTGACAAACTTCCTCCATATTCCCCTGTGGGATCTGATGTGGAGACCTGAGCTACAGTGTAGAGCTTTGCTCTACAGTGGGCTGGGCTGCTAGGATTCTGGGTAGATGAGCTAGCTGTATTTGATGCATTTTCAACACAAATCACAATATTACAATTTACATTGGTTTAGCAGGATTTATCCCCATCATAAATTAAGGAGTGTTTCTACTTTTTAATGTTTTTTCCATGAATGTTCACTTCTGTGTACATGTATATTTGAATATGTGTGGGCTTAGGATATGTGTCCGCTTAGGACTGTGCAACCAGACAGAAGAACTGCCAAGGTTGAACAGGCCCAAACCCCAGAAAAATCTCAGAACTGAGAACAGCAGGGATGGAGCCAGCTCCCTGCCAAACTATCTGATCCGGAACATGTAACCATGACATTCTGCTGTGACAATCATCACATAGCATAAAACCCCGGAGTTCTCCATGGTAATGAGATATATCCATAGTCCCTGAGTGTTTAGCTAACGAGCTTCCCTTCCTCAGCATTCCTTTCTGCAAAAAGTATTTAATCTCTGGTTCAGGTTCACCCTGAGTAAGGTGTATGCATTTATATCTACCATCAAATAAAACAGTTTGAAAGAGCAAGGACCGTCTCCTTCATCAAGGATAGCTCTTGGGTGGGAAGGGGGCCTTTGTCATAAAGAGCCACACCTGAATCTCCTGGAGAAGACTTTCCCTCTTCCAGCCCCTCAGTACTCTCAGCAGTTACGCAAAATCAAATGGGATTCTACCCCTGTACTGGGCTCAGCTACCTCATTCTGGCCTGGTACACAGGGAAAGCATGGACACTCGGACCCCTATTCTTAACTCCCCATGGTCCTCAGCAGTATCTGGGCAACCAAGATGCCAGGAACCACAGCATCCGTCCCAGATCCCGCTGTTTCTTACCCAGGAAAACATGGGCTGGGATCCATATTACAGACTGTGTTCTGCCTCCCTCGAGTGGCTTGCTGGTGGTGTTTGGGTACCCCAGTGATGAGGCAGACACACAGTCAGCAACTATGTGTACACGTATGTTTGAATATGTGTGTCTATGCATATACATGGAGGCCAAATGAACATATCACGTTCCTTGCCACTACCCTTCACCTATGTCTTTGAGAAAAGGCGTCCCCTGGATCTGGGGTTCAGGTTTTCTTGGCTAGGCTGAAAACCAGGTAGCAAGTTCTAGCCATCCTCCTGTCTCTGCCTCTCTCTGAGTTGGGATTACAGATCTGCACTGGTGTGAGCTGATCACACGGGTGCTCAGATCTGAACTGTGATCCTCGTGACTGCACAGCAAGCACTCTGACCTGCTGAGCTGTCTCCCTAGCCCCGCCTTTCCATTTGTAAAACAGAACTGCAGTTTGTGTCACAGTTTCTTAACATGGTGCAGGGATGGAAAGTGCCTTTGATGGGGGTAGGGGCTAGCTGCACATACGGGCTTCCACTCACATAGTTAGTGTTCACTCAGCCGTTCTCAGACTTCTGGAGATGTAGATGCCAAGAGTAAGATGTGACCTTTCCCTTAGGACACTCATCCATGGTGCACAGGGAGCTGGTGGCAGTGAGGGTCACATGGGGTCAGAAGAGAGTGACTACAGGGAGGAGAGACACTCATGGTGGGGTGCCATCACAGGACATTCCTATATTTCTAACTTTAGTCTTGGACTTTCAGACCACTGAGTAATATTCTAGTTTCCTTTCTGTGATTGTGATACAGCTCTAACAAAAAGTCAACTTGGGGGAGGAACAGTTTTGTTTCAGCTTAGAGATCACAGCCCGTCATTGACAGAAGCCAGGGGAGGAACTTGAAGCAGAAACCATGAAGGACTGCTTGTTGGCTTTCTAGAAGACTCCAACTATTTGCTTAGAGAATGGTGCTGCCCACAGTGGTCTAGGGCCTCCTATATCAGTGAGCAATCAGGGGAGTGCTCTGAAGATATGCCCACAGGCCAATCTGAGCTAGGGTATTCCTTTCTCAATTGACTCTAGGCCACTTGGAGTGACAGAACACACCCCTTCACATAGTCAGGACACATCCCTTCACACAGTAGGGGCTCTACCCTTGTATTTCTGACTACCTGAAGGACAACATAGCCTAATTTTAATCCTGTCTCTGATTTTCCACTTAGGGATCTTTACAATTTACATCAGTCTCCTGGGCTGCCGTCTGCCCTGCAGGCAGATCTTAATGGCAGTTAGGCTTTGTCTCTCAAGGGCCCATCCCACAGGGCACACTGTGAACTAAGGCCCCAGGAACAAGTGGCAGAAACATCATCAGTAGACAGAAAGATGACTAATGACTAGATGGCCGTGCAGGCTGGTCATGGAAGACAGGAAGTGGCTCTGAGCCCCTCACTCAAGAAATCTCTACAGGGCAGTGTTTGCAGCTCACAGCACTCAAATTTCATTTATAAAATCCATAGAACAGGAAACATGAGGGATCCTTATCAATTGCCTGATTGGTTGGTTTTTTACTTTCTCGAGTTTTATTTTCTTCAAACTTGACACATAATAGTTAGACTGATGTGGCTTACAATGTGATGTCTTTGTAGATGCACGACTGGTGTGATGATCTCATCGGGCTAATTAGCATACGAATCATCTTGAACATCCACCATTTCACTGTGAGGAGAGCATTCGAAAGTCCCCTTCCTAGCTATTTGGAAACACACAACGCACTACTGTTAATGATGCCCTCAACTGTCCAAACAGCAGAGCCCAGCCC